GGGGGGGGGGGGGGGGGGGTAGGGTTAGAGCTAGGGCTAGTTAGGAAGACTATCACCGTTGGGGGAAAGGGATACGGTTGTAGCGTTTAAGATTAGACCCCGACGACGTGGGTTGAATTGTGGGCGGCAGCACAAGTGAGGGGCATTTTTCACGAGAGAATTGCCGCCGAATTTTTGCTGTTGTCATTGTCACGTTGCTGTTGGCCAAAAATATGTCCGCTCACACGCACGTATGCATAGGCCAAGCCGGGCCATTCACCAGCGGTAAAAAGCATCCAAACACATGGCACGGAGGCACGGACTTCCCAGGCAGACCAGGGGGTGGCTTGTGGTTTTACATAGTACACAGCATTGCCGCATTTCACGGGTGCATGGGAACTTCAAGAGACGAGATAGAGGGCGAGGGGATCCGTGCGGTGTGAAGAAAAAAGGCAGTCAACCCAAGGGACGGGTTGTACAGTAGACTAGAGGTTGAACGCCGACCCCAACATCCCACAATGTGTTGAGAAACGTCCAAACTCCTTCGTCTTTGTGACAACACGGGTGGGACAATTCACACTGTCAATATACTACCCCTTACACACTGGGTATCACGGTCGAGAAAAAACAAACACACCAATCGCATCTACAAAACTACTAAACTCGCATGCAGAGAGTACACCACAACACACCCAACTCAATTCGGCACCCAGGTGTCAAGGTGTCAATTCACCTTCTCTTCTTGGCAGGCGATGGTGATGGACTTCCCTCCCTCCGGCACGGCCGTGCAGGGGTGCGTCTCGTACTTTTCCCCGTTGGGCGACACGCAGTGTGGAAACCTGCGCCACGGGAACCCCGCCGGGCGGGACACAAGAAAGGAGGGACGTCGGGTTCGACAACGAAGGATGTCTTAATGAGTGCAAACCGAACCTCGGCCACACAGTTGAGCTCTTCAGCTGAGGCAGCGGACCGGACGCTGCCGTACGGGCCGACAGCCAGGAACACCACCAACACTTCCCCGTCAGCTGCTCTCCTTGCTATACCCGTGGCCGGCAGGGCAGGTATACCACCAAAACTTCTCTTGTCAAGTGCTCTCCTTGTCACACCCGTGGCGCACAGCAGAATATTCAGGACTTCCAACATTTCGCAGGGTCATCCTGACGACCCACATCTCATACGTGAGACGTGCAATGCTCACGGACTTCAATAGGTTGCTGTCCCACACCCGTGAAACAGCAGAAACCACGCCCTGCAAATACCTCTTCTCTTTTGGGCCTTAGGCCTCCCTAGCTTCCCAACCCCAGATTGGCTTTCGTCTCCAACCTTGGAATTTTTCGAAAGCACCCAAGCGCCTCACCAAATAGAACCCACGACTTGCGTCTTCCCCCCAAAAACTGTTGCGTCTCACCCGTCACACATAGGGTACTCCTCGGGAGGACAGAGTCCCTCCGTGTCGCCGCACTCGAAATTCACGCAATCGCGCTCCCCCACATCCGTCCCGCCGATGGGGAAGCACTTGTCGCGGTAAACCTGCGATAAACGGTGCAAAGAAGACACGGGTAACCCATGGAAAACCCCGCGCCACGGAAAGGGCACAACGAACTCAAACATGATTGCAAAACGCCCACGAAAAACAACCACGCTGCAAACAGGGCGCACAACGAGCTGAAGCCATGATTGCAACCCGCCCTAAAAAACACACACGCAACAAAGAGGGAAACAACCAAGTGGCACATTGTTGCCATCCGCCGCCCGCCCTTGTGGCGGGAAGGCGCTTGTCATGTTATTGTCATCGCAAGACCTGCTGCAAGCGAGTTAAAATCTATCTATCACGCAGACCGCAGGAGGCCTTCGCAAGCACAAAAGGCTTGGTTTTGGAAGGGTTAAGAGGTACGATTATGATTACGTAGCCGCCGCCCTCTACTTCACACGCGAACAACAACATCCTGGTGGAGGCGGTCCAGTAGGCCAAAGTTTCATGTCACCTTGCAGGGGCCGGCCGAGCCGTCGAAGATCTTGGGGTAGTGATACTTGTACTGGCCAGGCCATTTCTCCTCCGTCCTGGCGTGGATGCCGGCGAACTCTGCGGCAAGCATCGAAGAAAGCCAAGTACAAGAGGAAAAGAAGGAGGCCCCAATAGGTTGTGCCGACAGACACGTATCAGAACTATTAGAAGCATTCTTTGATTCAACCGCACTGAGACTGACGTGCCGTAAATATCGGAGATATGGCACCCCCAAGTTAGCGTTTTTTCATAGCGTATTTCTACACAACGAGGGGGGTAACCACAGCCGAAAAGGGCAGTTTTGGAAACATATCGTCGAGGTATTTCATGAGAGGTGTCGGTTGGTGTTCGCACCCTCCTATTATTGTGAAGAAATACGCTACAAAAAATCTCAAACACGGGGGGCGCTATCTCTCCGCTGTTACGTTATTCCCATTGGCATCGTCAGCCGGCTACCGCGGCCGATGCTAGCAACAGCAACACCTAAGCACCCCAACACACAGACATGAGAGAGGTGATTGATTTTTTCTGTACACGTTGCCTCGATGGGAGATCCTCGAAATTGTGTATAGCGCCGGGAGAAGCTGTCACATGCAATTGAACGGAGGTGGAGCTAGCGAGGGTACTCAACACCATGGTGGCTCCCTTGTACGAAGAGGTAGCTTGGCTATGAGCGTGGCTGAGACGAAATAATATCGGCTATGAGCGTGGCCGAGCAGCCTACAAGACGATGATGAAGACAGTCAACAACACTGGAGGGATTTCAACGAACATCGACTCGCTTCTTCTGACCCGCCTTCGACTCCTGTCAGAGAGGCAAAGCAGCAGCAACAAATAGTTTGGGCACCGCAGTCAAGCAGTGCTCTTCGCTCTCAAGCGCCGACGAAAGAAAAGTCAACTCCACCGCCACCTCCAAGCCCCAACCCCGGCAAGACCAACAGGGCCACCAGAGCTCCCACCTTCACTTCAACTACAACGGTAACCTACACCTCAGCGCCAACAACGCAGTGGCATCAAATCACGGCACCTCCACCAAAACCAACAGGGAAGACATACCTTCTAGGACCACGAACGCCGGGTCCTCCTCCGTGCCCCCCCCCGTCACCGCCCACTGTATCCACGTGTCCGGCTGCTGATCGCACAGGAAGTCGGTCCAGCCGTCCTCCCCTCCGCCGCAGGAGCACGAGAATATCTTCCCAGCCTCCGATCGAGCTTCCTCCTCGGTCAGGAGGAGAGTGTTGGCGCTGCAGTTCGTCGCGGCCGCAACCTGGGATAGTCTCGACCGCAGCGTGGATACGATATTAAGTCTGGTTCGTGACCCCGTTTGCAAGGTTGATCATTGTACGCGGTTTCGTAGCTNCATGAAGGGTGCGCTGCATCCTGCTAAGGGTGTTCGGCATCTTGTGCTTACTTCCTTGCGTACGGATGCCAGCTGCGTATGACTTAATTTATTTTCTGGTGCATTCACTTCCTGAGACAGCTGTACGCACGTGTAACTGCCTCGGGGGTGCTTGACCATTTCAACACAACGTGGTGCGATCATCCCCCTTGCGCGTAGTCAGGGTTCTCGACCCCGCACAACATGATCTACTCGACCACCATTCATGGATACCGCGAAAAAGAAAACAGAGGTAAAAAAATAAAACGGTAACCTGGTTGCCGAGTTTACGAAGTGAATTGGCTGTTTTACAGCGTCGTTGCCAAACGACGAAAACCCAATCCCGATGGCAAACACCGAGGGGGGGGCTGGGGAGAGAGTAATAATGAAAGCCCATGCCGTAGTTGGTAGATCGTTTAGCTCGCAACCCACGTATGACGGGGCTAATACGCCGGGTTTTCGCCGGTCCGGGCTACGTTTCACGAAAGCATGAAGCTGAAGCTGGTCGTCGTCGTCCTTGCGATTGCTGTACCAAAACAAGAAACACCATTCAAACTCTCGTCCGTAACTCCTGTCGAAAGATTACTCATTCTCGGTTCTGGATAATACGGGTGGGGCTTCGTGGCTGAGAAGCACGCAGGGTTGGGGGGGGGGGAGTGGGCATCATGAGTTGGGGTTGTAGAGAACTGAGACAGCATCAGGTCAGGTCCTCCTCGTGCAACGGGCCTGATGCACAAGCGCCCGCCGTCTTCAGGATACAGATATACGACTCCATCTAGGCACCCCGGTGTCGATGCTCCTTGAAGCTACCGTTAACACTTCGTGTCAACGAAACAAAAAATCATCAACCCAGGGTCATGTGTGTCAACAGCAGTACAAGGGCTCCTCCGGCTGGTTCGTGCTCCCCCACACCAACTCATCGCGGACGCGTGCTCACCTGCCCGTCGACCGTGCTGCTCGGGCACACAGAGACATCAAGGCAGCGCCCGCAGTCTACGCCCGCCCACCCGTCCTCGCACACGCAGTGCGCGCAGCTCAGGTCGGTATGGTTTCCGGTTCCCCAGTACAGGGTAGAATTCCCAAAGCAGGTGGGGTCCCCGTAGTCATACGCATTTGTGCAAGCTGAGCGTCGGTTTGGGTGCGGGGAGGGGGCGGGGACACGAGTCAGACACACTGCTGTACGCGTATCCACAACCCAAAGCGGTGGAAACATTGTGGCAGTGCCAACATCTCCCCTGGATGCAGGCGTCTGGAGCGAGTAAGGCCGCGTTCGTGTGCACGTGTGACTCAAACGTACAACATGATTGTTCCCCTTCGCCTTCTATTCGAAGTGCTGCTGCGGGTACAACCGCATGTGGTATGTGGTATACCTCCGCGCACGCACTCCCTACTTACGGCACTGACGTGAATAACAAAGAACTAAACAACTCTTTAGCCCAATGAACAAGCTCGTCTTCTCCCACCGCACCCTGGCTGTGCACACCAGACTGCAAAACTCTTTGTAGACACTGATCTCGCGGGTCTCCTACTATCGAGGGCGGAGTCAGTTGCCAGCAGGCAGCTTTGATGTAATAGGCGGCACGATTGCATCTCAGCAGTGAAGGAGGCGGACAGCAGCATGCACTTCGGGATACACATGAGCCGGAGAGCCCCTGCCCCGTCACAAGTGCTGGTGGGAACACTCATGCACTGCGCTACCGCTGTGATCATGTTTGACAACCCGGGTGCTGGATCCCTCCGTTCACTGTCAAGACTTGAACATATCCCATGTGACTGTTGTGGTCATACCTCGAGCGGGTACAAGTAGTCTTTCTGTGTTCTTTTTATGTTTCCCAGGTATTGAACACCCTATCGCCCGAGTTTCTGCATACATAACGACCACCCTGCGGTGGGACTCTTCGTCTTTTACAACGGATACGTCGGGTCTAGGGTGCTTACAGCAAGAACATCGCATTGCGAAGACCCTCTCTACGCTAGCTGCTGGTTACATGTTGAACCGCTGTGTCAGTGGTGTATGTATCATTTGTAGCCAAGACAAATACGCCGCAAGTGTACACCAACAGCAGCAGTGCCTTGTTGGACAACTCAACCTGTACTGCGGAGACTAATGCTACCCATGACAACCAGCAGCCAAAATCCTATCCCACAAACAAACGACGGCCATCGAGGTCCAGGATGGCTGATGGTGGGTGGCGCGAGACCAGTTGATGAGCACGCTAAAGACACGCAAGCGGACAAAAAAATAACAATGCGAGGCGAACTCTGTCGAACCTTGGCGGAGGGAAGGGCCAGGGCTCCGGTTTCGCGCGTCAGCTCCAACACAAGAAGTAAGTACCAGTATCGCTCCCCACACGACACCGCACATCCGCGCTTTGCCTCGGCAGCCCCACATTCATCAGTGAACAAGCAGCAGGTGACACCAGTACAGTGCTTGTTGTGTTGTCAAACAAGGTGGAGCAACTAGCGGCGACGCGACTAGGAATGTTCGAGATACCCATGCTGCCATATCCGAGCCGGTGTGTACAGTTGCACCGCACTCGCTCCCGCTGAGCAACACCTTTCAATTGCACGGTACCACTGCCAACACAAGCACCCATGGCACCAGCCAGAATTCTGTTACGGCGAGGCAGCCTATGCTGCTGCAGCAGTGCCGCGAGGCGTGATGTCTTCTCTATGCGGACCCATTCCACTCTGGAGCTGTCCGAAGCAAAGAAGCAAGGCGAAGAGAACAGAGCCTGGGCCAAGACGCCGGGCGCGCGACAGGTCCTTGATCAACCACCGTTCGAAGGGGAGGACGGTGATGTAGGTGTAGCTCGAGCTTCGACGTGCACGCTGGAATCTCTCGAGGGTTATCTTCAGGTTCGCGATAACGCCTGGTGCCCTCGCAGAGGTTGATTCACGTTGTTGTAGCCCCTCTGTCGCTCGTTTGCATGTTCGGACTTTCGAAGCGGGAGCCCGCCTCATGAGAATTATGCACGGGTTGCGACGGCATCGTATCTGTATCCACCGCACAAGATCTCATCGATCTCATGGAAGCACCGCCTCACCCTACATGTTTGCTGCTCCAAACACCGCTGTTGCTGCTGCCCTTGACTACTGCTAGCCTTTCTTGCTTTTGCAATGGGGTGTGTGCTTGCTGATATCCATAGACCTACATGACTCTTCGCTTGCCACTATAAATAATAGGGGGACAGGGACAAGTATTCAAGGTGAAGACAGCTCGAAAGGTGTCCTCCTACTCTCTGCCTATCTACTGCAGAAATTCGCTTGTGAATCGACGCCGTGGTCGTTGAGACATCAACAGTTTCGCGGAGAGAGTGCCGCGCGAGAAAGCCTGTCTGAGGAACTTTTTCTTTTTTTTTCCAGGCGCTACAGCGTGCAGAGAGGCGAGCGGAGTGGCCTAGACCATCTGTCGTTGACTTTTTTTCGCTTGCGTACCCTTCGGGTCCATTTTATTTTCGTATACCTTTTGTTGGGCAAGTTAGCCTGTGACCACGGGAATCGACCCCGTCAAGTGTCAGACTAGTACGGACAGTGAGGAAGGTACTGGACAGAGAGAACGGAACGGTTTTTAATGTGAAGACAACAACAACAACAACAACAACAACAGCAGTGTACCAGAAAATATCGCCGCACATCTTGTTTGTATACTATACACAAACCACTCTTGCTGCTCGCAAGTATTGTAGAAGTACATGCAGGATTCTTGACCGACGTGCTGGCCGATAGGTTGGTTGGTACTATGGCGGCCTAGGCTAAACCTTTCAAGGACCAACTTGCACCCATTCCCTCCCCTACCATCGATCAGGCTCGTCGATGGCCATACCGCGGAGAACCTGCTCGGCGATTCCTCTCGCACATCCTCACCTACCCTCTCACGCTGGCGGCCGGTTTGCGGGAAGCCCAGACAAGGAAGGAGCCCGAGCATACCAACAAGCTCGCCGTTGTCTGCTTGGGCGCCCGGGCCGAGAGCACGATGCCCCCGGCTTACTGGCGGGAGGCACTCTTCGCCCTCCCGGACGTCTCTCGTCTTTCCCTTCATCTCATCGGCCCGGAGCTAGGCCTTCCACCTGGCGTTGTTGCGGCAGCGCGACCGGGGACAGCGGCCTGGGACGGAGCGGGCACGATTAGCCCTATCTCGACTGCTGTTGTCTCTGTAGGTGCAAGGACGGCCGATATTGCGTGGACTCGAGCCATGGTGGGTCCAAGCGCCGGCGGGTGCGTCGCGGGAGCAGAACAACAGCCAGAGGTGGCGGCGGGTTCAGCTGTGGGCTCCGGGAGAGGCGCTGCCACAGAAGCGGGGGCGGCGGAGGCAGTAGGAGCTGCAGAGGAAGCCGTACAAGCGGCCGACGCGTTCATTCTGTTCAACCCAGGCCTTGGGCACCCGCACCTCCGGCAAGGTTGGGATGGGGCGCTGAAACGCCTTCTCGCCACCGGAAAACCGATAGTCGTTTCGTGTCACAGCCCGAAGGACCTGGATAGAGACACGCGTCTGCTGCGCGAGGCGGGGGCGAAGCCGTGCTGCCCCCCCAGCGCCGCAAACGCCTCGGCGGGGGAAGGGTACGGCAACCGGGGGAACGGTTTGGGTGCGAAAGAAAACCCGTTCCGTAGCTTGATGGCGTCGGAGGACCCGCTGTCGGTGCCAGGGGATGAAGATCTCGTGTGGTGCAACTGGGGGATGATGGTCGTACGAGGGGCAGGGGACGCAAGAAGAACGGGCAGGGTAGCCTTGTAGCGGTATCGTCAGCTCTCTTGCCCCCAAAGAAAGCAAGTTGCCCAACCACCCGAGGGTAGGACCAAAGGTGGGCTTGGCGGTTTGGCGAGACGAAGAAGAGGCTTTCACGTGGCAGACAGGTTCGGGGGAAAGCAAACCTTCCGTAGCGCCGGAAGGGTTTCATGATGAACATGCAACGTGGCAGAAGAGTCGACCTCGGCTCCTCCAAAGACAAGGCGACACTCGTCATTGAGAGGGAGGAGGAGGTCCCGTATCTTTCTAAGCCAACAAAATATGCTGTGAAAATCGCGGTAACGATTTTTTCGCTTTGTATTCTAATGTTTTGTTTCACTTTTCCATTGCAATGCTGACTGTGTCCGTATCCAAAAAGTAACCGAGCTGCCGATGTGTTGTACACTCACACTTGTATCTTGCTGTAGCACTCGTCCTTCTTGCAGGCGCACCTGCTATCGCACGAGAAAACATCTACCCGAACGCCTCGAGCAGCGAACAATTCGGCATCACCTATTGACCCGGCGGACCGTGCACGACAAATGCTCTTGCTGGTCTCTACATGCCACAGGTTCCATCCTTTGCGCAACCACTCCCCCCGTCGACTGTCGTGAA